TCTGCTACGTAGAGTTGTTCTTTTGATCTGTATCATTAAAATCTCCCTAAAGAAAATGTGCTAATTTTCAACTGAAATCTTTTCATAACTATCTCTTGTTTCTGCCATTGCTACTATTCACATCAATTCAAGCCCAGCACATCCAATTTACATGATAATATTTTTTTAGGTTCCCAATCCCTAACCCAAGTCAACCTGCAGCTACCCGTAAAGCTACATAGGTTATATTTTTTAAGGCAAACATTTTTGTGGCTTTCAGATTTGTCTACAAATTCAGTTCTCTCAGTTCTCAACAGCGATGAACAACAGAACTTTCCAAAGAGGAGATTTGGGGATCTTAAACAAACCTGTAGTTAAAATTTGGGACACTGAGCAACATAGCAAGTTGGTCATGCGATTACAGGATAATCAGGCTGCTGAGATGACATGGTTATGTATTAGCATCATCAAAAGCTTTCTCACAACAACAGCACCAGCTGGTCTTGAGCTAAGATGGACATCGCTGCATTGAGCTCTAGTTTGGCCCAGTTTGGCTGCTGTTTGTTTTTGTGCCAGAAATGACCATATTTGAACACCAAGGTGGAGTAAGGTACTAAGGTGTCAGGTGAAAAGGACAGACAGACAGCTGAGATGCCTATTAATCAGTGCTAAAGAAAAAACTGATACAGACTAAAATTTCACTCACAAAAAGTGGTACAAGCAAATTAAGATGTTTAAAAAAAATAGCAGCACCTCAAGAACGGTCTCCAGTTCAGTATCTCCAATCAGCTAAACTGAAGCCTGACAGAGAGCTAGTGGCATCGTCAGTACCTGGGAATTTGGAGTGAATTTAGCTTTGGTGGATTGGAGTAAAATGTCTTAACTGTTGAAAATAGTGTCGTGAAATACGATGCAGATATCTATATTTTCCTGAGGATGAATTGAAACCGTTTTAATGATCCTCTGACCTTTTGTTAAGCACCATGATTGTGCCGTTATTTTGACTTGCACAGTTCTGTTTTATGAACCTGTACAGCTTGTCTTTCATATAGATCTTAAGGGCATGTTCTACACATTTTCTCTATCCTCTGCTCAGTGCAGTTTTTTTGCATCCATTCCTCGTATCACAGTAGACCAATTAAGACTAATCTGATTCCAGTTGTGACCTTTAGTTCCACCTCAAGTCTTTTGACAGGCGAGTTAGCGTGTAGCTGAACTGTTTTACATGTTATCGACGGGGTGCGAGGCATCATAGTCATTTTATCACACCAATTTCATTCTTGGCCGATTTCCCCTTAGGCAGGTTAATGGCAGCTTCCCATTGATTTTTCATGTAATTGATCAGAGACCTGCTTGAGCAATTTATTGGCCCACTCGCACCTGTGATTAAGGCTGAGGCCACATGTGTTTATGCATACACCGGCTATTACTATCCCCGAGATCAGCCGTGTGCCATAAAGTGCTGCTCTGCTGTCTGTCTGTGACTGTCAGCGTAATGAATGCTGTCCCGGTCTCAGGGACATTTTTAATCATGCTTGACCACAGCCATGTCATGTCCAAAGTCAAGAGGAATAGAGACAGCCTTGTCTGACTGACCCACAATGACAGGAGTTAATATGTTCACATAAAAACATCGACCGAGAGTTTAATTCAAAGTAGTCCTTACTCATTTTAAGCTGCTTCATGCATGGGATTAATATTAGAGCAGTCGGGGGGCCAAAACCACAATGACATCAGCTAAGCATTTTCTTTGGAAGCCGAGGATAGGATAATTACAGAAGAAGACAAAGACAAAGAGCTGAGTACTTTTTAAATATACACCCTGTTAGTTGGGCATGTCGGGAGAAGTGAGGGTAGCCTAACATGTAAGTCATTTACTGGCCTTGCATATTACGTCCTAAACCACAAGCCATGTTGCTGAGTTGGAGTGCTTAGCATTGGTGTAGCTCATCTCCCTTTGGTACTGTGACAGCACTGGAATAGTAAGGATCAGGCATAAAGCCGCTCAACAAGCTCAAGAGCTATCAAAAAGCCACCCTTTTAATTTGGTTAATTTACAGGCAGCTTTTTCACTAATAACGTTCTTGGAGTGATACTTGACAAATGGAAATACATACAGGATATTTCTGTCTCAGTGGAGAATGCCTCATCTAATGTTTTGCCTTTCATTTTGTTTCTTTCTCCTCTCTTTCTTCTATTTTCATCTTTGACTCGTGCGTTTTTCTTCATATTTATCTCCCCTGCAATTGTATAGAAGTCACAACCTTCAATAAAACAAAGTTCCTGGCCAGTACTTTATTTCTAGCATATTAGCAGCACATAAACTGATTTGTTTAAAGATTTGTGGCTTTGGAAACACCAATTTGACTTAAAATTTTATTATGTGGCCACAGAGTGTTGGCCAGACAGAACTCAAGGCGACAATCACATGTGGTTTGAGGCAAAATTTGAAAAAATAGAGCGAAAATGAGCCTGGTTTCTCAGGCAAAGAAACCCTTGCATAATGAAACCACCTCACATTTGCATTACTCAAGCTTCCCAATGCCATGATGACAGTCATATACATCACTGAATGTTATGGGAAAGAGGATTATTTTAGCTTTTTAACAACGGTATAAAAGCAGCAGAAGTTAGAGACGTGTTTTTTATCATTTGACACTAATTTTGTTTATTCCTCGTGCAATGGACAGGATACAAAAGGCTCGTTTGTGGAAAAAGGTATCTTTTGTACCAAGATAATTAGTGTTTGCATCTTGTGGAAATTAAGGTGTACCTAATTTCACAGCACAACTATTGTGTCACAGTGCAGTTTGGTAAAGCAGAGGGTTCACGTGAATGTGAAAAAGATTTTATTTGTGCAGAAATGTGGGGCTGTGGCATATTTGGTTATAAGGCTTGCGCATATTTACAAAATCTGCATATAGCGACTTTAAATGGTGTTGTTGCTGTCAGGCCTTAGACATCTAAATATTGGTTCAAATGTGAAATATATTGCGTTTCCTGTCTGGTGTCACGCACACAGTGAAGTCAGCAATAGCAAACACTCTGGGGCTGCACTAAGTCCTTGTGAAAGTTTGAGTAAAAGAAGAAAAACACAACTCCTTCAAAATAAAACTTAAACTGAGTCAAACTAGTACGGCTCTGGTTTCAGACTGTGTGTGGTTGTTGTGGCTGACAGGCCGGGAAGTCTATCAACTCTCGTCTTTAAAGTGGAGGCTGGGATGCGTGCTGATATACATAAAAGCCGGAAAGAGTGTTTTAAAATCCTCTCCAGTATGCAGGAGGAGGAAAAGTTGAAATGTCCAACTACACTGACACTGGCGCGCTGATGTGCTCGTTAAGAATCAGGAGAGAGCATCAGCGGAGCAGGTCACCCTGTTTCTCACATCACAGCCCCATCAGAAATTCTTTCAAGTGTCCTTCTGCGTCGCCAAAGATGACAACGGCGAATCGATAAGCGCTTGAAATGAAAAGAAGCCGTCGGTTTGCCCCCGAGGCGAAAGATTTCATACCCGCCAGCCTTCTCTGAACTTCAGGCATTCCTCTGCACCTTTCTGCGTGAGAAAGAGGAGGCTCTTGACTGATTTTTTTTCTCTTTGTATAAGAAGGTAAGAGGAGAATATAACCGAACCATCATGCCTCTCCAGACGCTACTCACCCTCTTTATCTCTCCGTGCAGGCGGGGCGTGATTTGAAGATGTGCACATGCAGGGCTGATGTTTTCTCTTCTGGCTTCTGGGTCCTTTTACTCACATTTTATGCGATGGTGCATGTGTGTTGGAGTGTTTGTGCATGACTGTCCCATAATACAACAACTAATATTAAAGCACAGAGGTCAAAATTTGAAAGAGCGAGCTGTTTTGGCAAATATGCTTATTTTATTTATTTTTTCCCCATATTGGTTCGCATTTGACCCATTGTGCTCAGTGTGCATGTGTGTTTGGCGAGAGGAAAATTAATAAAATATGGTTTTCTCGGGCCTTTGTGGAAGACTAAGAGGGATTTCTCTTGACTAAAGCCCAGCTTAATTTGATGTCTTTACTCTTACATAAGAAGACCAAATAAGCTATAAAAAATTACATTATGGTGGCTCTTATTATTTTTCCATTACATCTATCTATATAAGGTATTTATCAGAAATGTGCTTGGATCCCAGAAATCAAGCCATCCTTTACTCAACAAATTTTGATCGAGGATGGCGTGTAGATGATGCGCACTTGCTTCAGTGTCCCCATTTGCCTAGAAATTCCCATGTGGATGGGTGCATTAATTACTTGTTTAATGGGAGTATGACTAAAAATGTAAAACAAGGATTAGGCGCGGGGAATGCAGGCCTACGTCCGGTCGGCTTGCCTCACTTAAGATGCGAATGGAAAATCAGCCTGTATCTAACGAAACGGATCTATAAAGAACATTTGCATCCGAGCCAGCTGTTCACTTCATCTGCACATAAATCCGCAACACGATAGCGCTATCTGGCCCCGAAGGAGCCTAATGCATCAATTTAAATACTTTGCAGTTCCAAATATTCAAAATATTGCGTTGTGTAAATTAGTTAAATTATAAATCCACAATGGCACAACAACCAGCTTGTGTAAAATGGACTCATTTTGCTGATTGGATTATAAAAAGAAATTTTAAAAATCACTAAATGCCTTAAAAAGCATTTTATTTAAAATAAAGGCCAGTGAGCTGGTTAAATAAGGAATCTGCAGCCATGCTCGCTGTTTATTTTTGCACGGGCAGAGTTTATATAATAAGCGGTTAAGTGGCTGGTTGTAAATAGGTTGGGTTTAAGCAAATTGAACTGCTCTGTGTTTTGCATGCCTGTCGGGATGGCCTATCAGGAATCTCCGTGTTTTATTTTTTTAACACGCTCTTTTTAAAGATGACACTGAATCTTTGTGTGTGTGTTTGATTATTGTTGAAAGCTGAGACGCTCCGAGTTGCCCTCTGCTAGACTACACAGGCACATGAGCGTACACAAACACACCCCTTTAAAAGCGCGCGCGTAAACACACACACACGCATACGCACACGGGGTCCCTCTCTAAGCTCAAAAGCAGGAAAAATTGCGCCACTCTTGGAGCGTCTTTCAAGGGGGAAAAAGTTGAGGAAGACAGAAGAGGACGAACCAAGAGGAGACTCGAATGAAAGCGCCTCCTTCGCAGTTTCTCCTCACTGTAAATAGATGGTTATTTATGCGCATAAATGAAACAATCCTAAAGGTAGTGGTGCGTCTCTTTTTGGATACATAGTGGGAGAGCACATGCTACGCTCTGGTTTTCCCCGGACAGAAACGTAAACTTCAGTGCTACTGGATCTTGAAGTTGCTCGGTTTGTCGCTGTAGACAGAACTACTGGTGTCTCCGTGCGTTTGGACGGTGGAATTTATCTCATCTCTGTAGAATAAAACGCCGACGGCCGGGAAAAGCAACCTCCCCACCGGTGTCTACAACTGGTAAGTACAGTAGAAGAGTGGAGGCGCTTAAAAAAGTGAGATGTGAGTTAATGCGAGTGAAGGAATTTGTTCCACCTCGCGCTTTGTGCGCTCTGTGCCTTTCCGATGTAAATTTAAAAGCCATGGTTGCAATATAAAGGAGCATGAAGTGATGTGAGGGCAGAGTTTGCCTTACAGGTCAGTGGATGATAATGATGTATCGTTAGAAGTGATGGAGTGTGGGGAAATAAAAAAAAGGAGAAGAGCGAGATAAATCAATGTTCAGCCGGCGAGGGTTGTAATAAAATATATCACATAAGCCATTAAAGCTGATTTCAGAATTATACGTTTTATTTTGATTTTTAGCTTCAGACCAGAGCTGAAAATGCATTTTCAAAGATAATGAATAAACTGTGAGTAAAAAAGCTGACAAACAGTGTGGAAACTAAGAAATAATCAAGCTGCAAATAACAATTTTAACAGAAAGTGTCCAAAAAGAGTTTAGATGTCATTCACCCTCCTCCGAGTCTGTTTTCGAAACTGAGAGAAAGAAGTAACGGGGGTAAAAGAGGCGACGTTCACGGTCTCACGCCTTTAATTAATACAGGACCATATGGTGGAGGTTAGTCGATTCATCTCCCGGTAAAGGCTGCAGTCTCATGCTCTAGCCTACTGTGTTAATTTCAGAAGTAAAGCCAGTGAGAGGCAATGCCAGTTTGCTGTCTGCACTGGGCCTGATGCCATGTGAGTCACTGATTCATATCAACTGTTGATGATGAAAGAAGAGAGAGTCCATGAAGTGAGAATGAATGGATGAACGAGATTAATATAAGTTATCATAATACTCATACTATTTTAAAACCGCTCCTATGGGGTAACTGCTGCAAAATCTAAATAAATACGTGTTGTCAGGTTCAATTGCCGTTAGAAATATTTTGCATTATTATTATTATTATTATTATTATTATTATTATTATTATTATTACAGTTGCCCACATATGTCTTTTCAAATTTGACTTAATGAATGAGGCAGTTTAAAGATCATACTAAGGTGATGTTCGTCTTAAATGAGCAACTTCCGATTTAAAACAAAAATGCTTTTCCTCTCTAACTTTAAAGGAAAAGGCACTCTTCGAAATCTGAAGCGTCCTGAACAAAATACAGACAACAAAAGAAAAAAAAAAGCTCAAGTCGTTAATTCAAAGCTGAAATTGCAGTTAAATTTTCACACAATAAAACAAAATTAATAACAATAAATTAAAAAAAAATGTGTGTAACTTCAGAGACTGTGGAGCAGCACGACAGACTGAAATATTGGACGAACCTCTCATTAAATTTCACTGATTAGGTAACACCGAGCCGCATGCAATAACCTTACACCTTACAGCGTGACCCCCACTATTTCATTTTGCAGCGGGGATATAGAGGAGGGATGCGAAGAACGGTTGTGCAGGTACACAGCATGTAAAACTTAACCTCCAATATCTGCATCTTTTGAATTAAAGGGTGAAAAAAAGAGAAAGAAAAAAACTCGCAGATGATGTAGAGCAGGTGAAGAGAAGAACTGAGGAAAATGGTTAACAGCATGACTGGATGCAAATTTCCCCCGACTTGAATTATCATAAGCAAACATTGTGAGCCTGGACTAATAAAATCCCATCTGTGTAACTTCATATCGAGGTAGTATGAGGGCTGCGATAATGAATTTTGTAATATCCCACCGACAGACATCTCAATCAGACTCTAATCCCATGATTTTACTACGGAATCACTCCACTCCCAACTGCACCAGGCAGCACCAAAACACAGAATCCGGCTCGAGCAAAACACATGAAGGGTTTTCCACACCGTGCAAAAATAAGAAAAAAACACATAACGTAAAATCACGATGAGTTTTGAACTGTAATTTATCAGAATTAAGTAAAAAAATACCTTCAAAACTAAGAGATTATTCACTTGATTATTGCGATATATTCCTTGTTTCGTGCACACCGGAAGTTAAACTCAAAATTCTTTCAAAAATGGCACATTCAAACTAAAAAAAAAAAATTTTAAAAATAAAAATTTAAAAATCTCATCAAGATCCACATTTTGCAATAGTGTCATCATCATGCACCGCCGCTGAAATCCCACCATGCTCTTATATATTTTTGCTTTTATGTTTGTCCCATTATCATCATTTGCCATTCACTCAAAAATAAGAGTTTTCAAAAGGAATTCTTTTTCTTTTTCTTTCTTGTTACAATCAAAGGATTGCCCCTTGACCACATCAAAGTCCTCACGTAGGCTCCCGAATTATTGACTGCACAGTTAGAGTTTGATGATAATAAACGACTCAGAGGACTTTTTCGCAGTCTCAAATTGTGGCCAATTGTGGCTTTTTTGTTTCTTTTTACAGAAGCTGTTTCTTTGAATTATCAGAATGGACTCCCATTGCCGTAAACTGGTCACCACCTGCGCACAAATAGGTGAGTAACAATTTCAAATGTTCTCATTCTAATAGAAATAAAAAGCTTTTGCAAAAATGTGTATTAGTTTACACAGGTTGATACAATTTTTCACTTCACCTAAATTAAAAGAAAATCATTTAGTGACATAACGAAAAAGAGTGTGTTACTTTCCAAATCTTAAGAAAATGCTTTACAAACCTAGTAACAATATGAAAAAGGTGAATATTTTTTATATTTGTCAACGTTTAGATATCTTAAATGTCCCCAAAATCTTAAAACGTAAAACACAATAATATACAATTATTAATGCACTTTTTTGGAAGTACCACAGATTATATTGATACTTACATGTCAATATTAACAAACAGATATTTACATGTTAGGCAACAGGTTTACCAGCGAGCCCAACTTCTTCGTTTGTGCCGTTTCTGATCAGAAGACCAGATTAATTTTTCAGAGAAATATCATTGATTTCCTACATTTTATCTTCACGGCTTCGCCCATATCTGTTTATTCGTGTTTTAAAAGTTGCTTTGTGCGCACATGTGGTATTTTGATGTTTTCTTTTATTTCATTATATTGGTGTAGCCTTTTTTATATGCCTGTATTTCGGCCCTTTTACTCCTCAATATGGAGTTGTGAGACAGCCGAGTTGGTTCGCTATGTTAGAGGGACACCTGGTGGTCGAATGCGGATCAGCACGGCACCAGAGCAGAAAAAGGAGAGCACAGACAACGCTGATCATCCGGGATTTGAAAAGGATGGCCGCTTCGCATAGCAAAGTTAATTAGTTAATTTAAAAATATGCTAATGTATGACAAATTACACCGTATTGTTAATTTTACTTTTAATGACATTTAACACAGGAAGGCAGTTTTCACAGATTTTTTTAATCGTCAGTTCTCCTGTAATATGCTGAGAGCCTTTCATATAAATGGTAGTCTCCAAAATCCCTTAAAACCGATATCAGACTAATTTAAAGCTGCAATCCTGAACGACAAAAGGATGGGATTATTAATTATTCTCTCATGTGACACGGAAATTACATCAGGTCTTGTTAGTGTCTTTGACGAATAACCAATAAGTCGTATTGTGTTTCATTTAGTCGACATTGCTGGGTATGTGTGACGGTCGCGTATTGTAGCTTCTTAGCTGCTCGTCGTGAACCACCACAAAAGTAATAAGATAAGTAATAAGATAAGTAAAATCAAAATGGGTGATCGAGAGAGATGCCGGCAAATATAGACACACCAGCGTCAACTGTTTTGCTATAATATATGCAGTGCTTGTTGGATTGACTCCGGGGAAAACTACATGTATAATGAAAGCCAATTCGTGAGGAGGAATATCCTAATGGAGGAATCTGATGTCTGCTTAATCCTATGTAAAAAGCCTTGTCGTCTCCCCTTATATTGACTGAATTGCTAATTAATGGCCCTCTATGGTGGAGGCCTATTGCACGCAGTAATCCGCAGAAGAGAGATAAAGCATTCAGAAGGTAGAAATGAAGAGGAAACCGATAATCCACTTCAAGTTTAGTATTACAATGCGCCTGGAAGAAAAAAGGAGCAACAGACCGTCCGTTATTTAACGGAAAATAAGGCACTAAATAATATTTTATTTGCTATTTTTTAACAATATAAAGGTAATACATATTATTATAAATAATAATATTATTGTTGTTGTTGTTGTTGTTGTTGTTGTTGCTCTACATGAAATTTGGCTTACTGGTTTTTACCCTTTATAAAGTTTTGTTATTGCAATGATAAATAAAACCATCATTACAGTTTAATGTTAATGGATTGTAATTGAATTATGATCAAGGTTTTATTGCTCTACATTAGAGGCTGTTCGTGTGAGTGTGTGTCTGAGTGTATGCGAGTGTGTGTTGCATGCAGTCTACGGTCTGCTGGTATTTATATATGAGGGGCTTTCACGGGATTAGCCCAATAACTTCTTAACAGCGCCAAGTCCCAAATGTGCTGGCTGAATGGGCTTTAGTCTGGCCACGTGGAGGGTGGAAGTGTGATTTTGATGATGATGATCTTGATGATGATTATGATGAAATGTGACTAGAGTGTCTCTATATTTAGATGTATGTTTTCACTTGCACTCCTGATCGCACTAACTGGCGCGGATGTTGCCTATCTCTTTATGGTCGCTCCATCACTTCAGCCACCTGTTTGTTACCCAGCTGACGTTTCTCCACCCGCCTATGAAAATCAAAGTCGCATTTGTTTGATTAGACATGTTTGCTTTGCCTTAATGCGGCACAATCTTTTAGGAATTAGATCTTAAAAAAATGTCTCGCATATCAGCTCAAACTCTTTAAAAGTGCTCCATTAGAAATAATTAGTCAAATTAAGAGTCTTATTAGGTTTTCTGCCAAAAAGAACACTTCGGGGGGGGGGGGGGGGGGGGGTTCGCTGACAACGGCTATGGACTCCAAACACAAAGTGAGGAGAGATCCAGTTAAGCACCCAGATAAAGTAATCTGTCATCAACAAACTGAGACTGCGTGGTACAAAGCTCCAGTCAGTTGATTTAATGAATATGTGAACCTCAAGTCTGGGAAGGTCAAGAGAGTCGCCTCATTTGAAAACTAGTATGACTGAAAATGCTTTTCCAGGATGGATGTGGGATGGATACGGGATTCAGGGAATAGCAAACCAGTTAAAGTCAGCTTGGTCACGTTTTTGGACCGTGATGTAAATGCACAATAAAACTGAAGGCGCAAAATGCAAACATTCAGTGTGTTGCCGGTTACCTTTATGTAATTTGAGCACTAGCACTGAGTTAAAACATGCTACTTAAAATTAAGCATTTTCGTGTCCATATGAAAGCACAATGTGCACATGTGCTCTTTTTTAAGGTAATGCGCGCGCCTGGCAATTAGCATCAGTTGACAAGTGCTCACAGACAATTTGGGGTCAAGTTGGCACAGTCCTTAGTTACATTTGTTGTTTGTTCTTTCACGGGTTCTTTGTGGTCCAGGAGGTGCTTGTGTTTGATATTCACTGCGCTTTTTTTTTTTTTTTTTTTTTTTTTTTTGTGGTTTCAAAACAATCCGCGCAGTGGCTGGCTTTATTCACACGGAGTCCCAGAGTAAACTGCACTGACAGAGCCTACCAGCCTGAAGCTCAACTTGGTTATCAATAGAACTACATCGTTTTACTGGGCCACTGGACCCATCTCATAAAATGAGACCAAACTGTGTTATTTTCATTTTTATTTGGTCTCGGGCTGCTGCGCAACGGCGTTTTGGAGCGCCGCGGGTACACCGTGCGTCCCATCTCTCTTTACATGCTTTTATTTGGAAGAGAGAAATAAGCGCCAGCGTCGGGATAAACACACTGGCAGACATATCTTGTTTCTGCAAGCTCTGGTTGGTTGGGCACGCCGTCATATTCACATGGATGTGCCTGTCAGAGAAAATATGGGCGGGCGCAACATGGTGACGTGGAGGTCTGGAGAGAGGCGCAGTTGGATAGACAGTGCTCAGGCAACAGCTGAAATGAACAGTGAGTGGTGTAGTGTGTGTATGCCTCTGGATCTAATATCACCTACCTGTCCTTGTCACTCTGATAGTCAGGCGAGGTAGCCGCTGTTTTTCACCGATGCTATGGCAAAACTCAATGGCCTATTTTAAAGCGTTTTCCAATTTAAACACAAAGAAGGCTTTATCTCAACCGCAAGAGGATCCGCGAGGTTGTGCGTTTTTTGGAGAGCTGAGCACATTCCGCAGTCGGACTTTCCGCCTACCCTTCCAGTACTAAAGGTTGTGCGATCTTTTACCGATGAACTCTATGAGGGATCCATTAAACATAGACCATCATCACCTAACAGGGAATAAACTTGCCTCCACACACCACACGGCTCTGGCGATGGCCTCTAGTTTGCAGCCACTGCAGCGGTCTGTGGACTCTAAACACCGGTTAGAAGTGCACACTGTGTCGGACACATCAAGTCCGGAGTCTGTCGGTAAGAACCGCCCGGAGTGCAGATGTTCTCTGCAAGACGCCGCAGTTGTCATCTTGATTTCAAACAATAGATGGCTCTCATCAGTCAAAGTAAAGGGAGCTTTACATGCATGCAAATAGGCGATTACAGCTGTCATTTACTAAAAGATCATCTGTCTGTGTGCGGCGCTGAGTGAAAAAGTTTCAGTTATGTAAATGAAAACAGCTTGTGTTGCCAATTAAAATTGGCCCGACTTTTTCTGATATTCTCAGTAATTGCGTTAAATAAAAAAGGTTAACTAAAACCCTAGAAGTCAACGGAAATTCAGAACCCAAAACATGAAGTAAACAAAAGATTTATTTTTATAAATCCTTTAAGTGATACTGTTCCCACGGGAGCCTCGGATCGTTTTTTTTTTCTCCTCGCATTGTTCAGGCCATAATCTGGGTGATGACTTAAGTACTTCATTCCCTCTTCACAGAAAAGGAGAAGATACAAAATAAAAATGAAGACTCTTCAGATGACCCTTCCAAAAAGAAGCGACAGCGGCGGCAGAGGACTCACTTCACCAGCCAGCAGCTGCAGGAGCTGGAGGCCACTTTCCAGCGGAATCGCTATCCGGACATGAGCACAAGGGAGGAGATAGCCGTGTGGACCAACCTTACGGAGGCCCGAGTCAGGGTGAGTATTCCCTTGGGTGTAAACAAAAGCAACTAGTGTGTATAAATTCAAGTAATTTGCGCCAATTTTCCGGTTGTCCCATAAATATCCGATACTTTAACATAATTACGCACGCACTGAAAATTTTACGCACGATTGGAATTTGATTTAAATAATGTACAACATAATTTTAAAATGAAAAACAAATAACCGGAGTCTTGTTTAAATATACTTCTGGTGAAAACTCAATTTAATTAGAGCGTTAGGCTATATGTTTATATTAAGCCAAATGGAATTTGAACCCCTTGTACACAATGAAAAAATAATCAGTTTTAGCACAAGTCACAGTTCTCGGCATATTTTAATCTGGCGCATAATTTTATTTAAAAGAGCCCAAAAATGACTCATCCCCGTTTCCAAATGAAGTGTAATTAAACACTTACAATGTTGTTAGCAGTTGAGGGGCTCGACATTAGTCGGTGACAGATACCAGTCGTGTTCTGCTGTTCGTGTGAAAGAGGTGCAAAGCTTGTATTTTGCGATTGTCGCCCTGTGCTTGTGTGATTAAGGTCAGCGTGTTTATGGAAGCATGCAGAGGAATACACATCCTCTGCGCATTAAGATAATGCAGAGAGACCGCAGTGTGTATTCTGCTCAGATAAACACGGAGTTTTTACAGTTTTAATGAAGTGTTAAAACAGTAGGAGACGGGAGTCATTTTATTTGAACAATTACAAATTGTTAATTTTATTAACTTGTAAAGCTCACATATTATCACGGAGCCATATAAATATATCATACTGATAACGATACTGTTGCCTAACAATATACTATGTCTAAACCTCTGCATTTCATTTGCTGTAGGTGTGGTTCAAGAATCGGCGAGCCAAGTGGAGGAAGAGGGAAAGAAACCAGCAAGCAGAGCTTTGCAAAAACGGCTTCGGGCCGCAGTTCAATGGACTCATGCAGCCCTACGATGACATGTACCCTAGCTACACATACAACAACTGGGCTGCCAAGGGCCTCACATCTGCCTCTTTATCCACAAAAAGCTTCCCCTTCTTCAACTCCATGAATGTCAACCCCTTATCCTCGCAAACCATGTTCTCACCGCCCAACTCCATATCCTCTATGACTTCCAGCATGGTGCCATCGGCGGTCACCGGCGTACCGGGCTCCAGTCTCAACAGCCTCAATAACTTGAATAACCTCAGTAACCCGTCTCTCAACTCGGGGGTGCCCACGCCGGCGTGTCCCTACGCCCCTCCGACCCCTCCTTATGTGTACAGGGACACTTGTAACTCTAGCCTGGCCAGCCTGAGACTGAAAGCCAAGCAGCACTCGAGTTTTGGATACGCCAGTGTGCAGAATCCGGCCACTAATCTGAGTGCTTGCCAATATGCCGTGGACAGGCCAGTCTAATACCTACCTGCACTGCAAAAAATAATCATCTTAGCAAGATATAAGAGGCTAGTAGGGACGCTTACAGTTACATTTTTCTCTAAAGACAGTGGCCATCTCTGGTGGTGCGATTGTTATAGACTTTTTTGCGTGTATCAAGATTTTGTTTTTTAATTTTTTGGCGATCTTTGCCAGTTGGAATGTTACTTGCAGTATTCCGACCCTTTTCCTTAATACACTGCCACTTGCTCCGGTAAAAATCTAAAATCTTATAGGAAACATGTGGGATTATCCCATCGCATCACATTCATTTTCTTTCTTTTGAAGGGGCAAATGTGATTTGAGGGTGATTACAATCCCAGATAGCTTGCTATGGTGGTCATTTTTTGCAGTGTGAGGGTAATCACAAACAGCCGGCCACAGGAACAAGAGACTACTACAAGTACTTTTTCATTTTTCAAAAAGGGCACTAGAAGACTGAACCACTGAAACAAGCTCAACTACAGGTCGGAGTCAAACTGAAATGGGACTTCTTAGGTTTGTTCCCCTTTTGATGAGTCCAGGCCTGCTTCACACTGCGCCTCAGCGGAAAAGAAAAAAAGAAATAAACGGAGAAAAAAAAGAAAAGAAAAAAAGGCCTGTTTTATTTTTCACAACTCCTCATAAGGGTTTTCTGGTGGATTTTTGGACGGTACCTATTGACTGAAAAGGTTGTATATATATTTGAATTATCATCTCCTGTTTGTCGAGGCGAATGCGCTATAACCCCACGTCCTCTCCAGGTTCAATTTATCAACGCATGTGGAAAAAAATCTCTAAAAAGGAATCATGTTTTGCTTGCAAACAAAAGGGAATGTACATACTAAAACGCACCAGTTGTGTGTTTCTAACATATTATAAATTTATTATTAATGTCTGTGTGAATATCGATTTAGAATAGCAATTCTGGATTAAAAAAAAAAAGTTCAAATCAAAATGTTCCTGCGACAAATTATTTGGTTTTTTGCTCTGTGTATACTATTTGGTACGGAACTGTTTTTTTTCCAGCATTCAAAAACTATTGTGTTTTATTTAATGGAAGTAAATATATTGTTCAAAAACATCATGCTGGGGGACTTTTATTGAATCTTTGTGCTAGTTGTCTGATAGTGGAGTGTGAAGCAATGACAGTCTGTCTATAGCCTTTCGATTATGTGAGGTACTTGTGCAGCTAATCTATAGAGGAAAACAATGGGCCGCTCCAATACACATAACTCCGAGATGCTCCGTCAGATTAACTGCTGAATACATGTCTGCCTGCCCAGCCAAGAGCTTCGGCTGGTCACTGGTGCTTGAAATAACACGGGAATCCACAAAAAGGCATTGGACCACACAACAATGATAACAGTCCATTAGAGGTTGTTTTTTGCTCCCCGTCTTTGATCTCAGAAGAGACGGTAGTTTTCTGAAGTGGCTTATTAGAAAACTTGAAGTACAGCCCGCGATCTGATTCACATCATTCTTTAATATGGATTTTACGATATGTTTGAATTTATCACCTAGTAACTTATCAATCAGCAATGTTTAACAAAATCATGTTTAGAGTTACATATTCTAAATCCAGCCTCACATCTTTTTTTCTGCCCCCATAACTAATCCTTTCTAATTGTGCATCCCACCTGATTTATACGTGTATATATTTGCCTTTCTAGTATTTGCTTTTGTAACATTGCGCTTTTTTGAGGTATGCTTTCCGTTGTGCAAACGCGACGAAGCAAAACAAACCGTGATTCGCAAGCTTAAGCAAACAAGAGGACACAGAGATACAGAGGTATGTGGGCCGGTGCTGCCTGGAGGAGGCGGGGGATGTGTGCAACTTCATGGCTGCAACCAGAGCGGAGACACCGGGGAGGAAACACCGCGACACTTCCACACACAACAAGCCAAATAAATTATCCGAGTCCGGGCAGCCTGTATTTATTCCTAGTGTCGCCCATAAAAAATGATAGCAGTATTTAAAAAATCATTATATAAATGGGCCGATATGACACTGTTTCACAATAAAAATTAAACAGTGTGTTAAAAGAACAAAAGAAATGTAGGTTGAAAAAGCGTAATGTCAAGTTGGATGATGACTCAAGTCATCTTTTATGAGAGGGTGTTAACTATTATGAGGAAAAATCAATCACGGTCCAAATTTGGGGTGTTTTTGCAAAAGCGCCAAATAACAAACACGAGATAAGTGTTCTTCTATTTTTACATTTTGAGTTGAAGTGGCCGTCCAGCGGCTTGAACTCCACACCCTCCGCAATTAAATTTTCCTCTCAAAAGCTGCAAGTGTCACCTTTTGATGGAGTTGGTAACGCGGAGCAATAATCAGCTGACAGGGGATAAGCCTAGGCGAATACACAAGTCTGCAGCCTCAATACACAACCACACAATCAACATGTGAACAGAGGGTGACCTGAAGAGAAGAGGCTTGAGTGGGAAATTGTTCATTTGGCTGACACGGCGCTCAGGAGTGCTTTCCTCTTCTCTTCTGTGAGCCTCTGCAAGGTAAGAGCTTATTAAAGTTTAATGAATGCAACATATGTGACTTTAAGCTGCTGTGTCTGCGCTTTTTCTGACGTGTTATTTTATACATTTTCTGCAAGATTACATTAAAAAACCCCTTTGTTTGCATCGTGACTGAATCTGCTCATATTTAAGTGAAATAAAGATTCTAAATTCAGGGAGTGCATCATTTATGCATCAAAATAAGGCTGTGTAAAGCGGAAAACAATGTTCTGGACATAACTACGCTTAATGACACCAGGGAAACACAGAAACATACATATATGACCTCTATTAACGTGTAGTTCATATTTAATCTAGTAAGCAATTCCTTTTCTCTGTAAAAAAAATAAAAAAAAATAAAAAATAGCAAGTTCTTGCTTCTCTTGCCTCGTTTTTAGGACTCCTAAAACACACCGGTACATCTTGATGCGAGATTTGTTCCGCCATCTGATTAAAAAAAATCCAACGTGATGAGACACTGCTAGTCGACAGCTTTCACCTCGTCTCCACTGGGAATTCAAATAAAAAGCGAAGAAGTGCAAATATCCAAACATGTATCGTTACAGCGCCAATCTAAATAATTAACAGGCTCTCAATATTCATACAGCGACGGGTTTGCAGGAGACATGACACGGTTTGGTAACAGCCTAATGCTGCATGCTATGTCGAAATGTGCAGCATGTTTTTTTTTTTTAATTACACCCTAACGAGGCTTGCTTTTCAACTTTTATAATATTTTTGGAACTATGCATAATATTTCAACTGAAAATGTGTCTGGAATAATGTTCATATCAAGACACTAATTCCTGCTATTTGCAGTAAAAATAATCTGAGATTCCATCCATATTTTTTTAATGTATATAATTATTAAAACGGAACATTTAGCTCGTTCTGCTCTCCTTACCAATGAATCTATTTTTTTAGTTGCACATTTTAATATATGTTAAGATGAAGCAGGAGATATGTCAGATGGGGGATATGGGTTAAGATAAACATAGAAAATGCTGTCCAATATTTCATTTTTAGGGTTGCAATGGTGCAAGACTTCCAAAGTAAATCACGGCAGTGGTTTAAATGGACAGCAATATTCTTGTTGCTAAAGCCAAATTTGCCCATAAGTTAGGCCGTACAGAGAGTTTTCCTTAGGGAGAAAACTGGCCTTTCGCAATCTGCGCATGTTTATGTCTCAGGAAAAAAATGCAAAATTACACATGCACACCTTTTTTTGTATCCATGCATAGATTCAAACTTGTCCTCACACGTGCACATGTGATGTTGCTGCAACACATCGACATATACAAAAGTCATTCTGTATTCTTCTGGAGCAGGAGGCTACAAAAAAACTGCTCCAGAAGACTTGTAGCATAAAGGCCACGCAGATAATAGGTGGTGCCAACACACAACTAGCTTCAGCACTTTGCAGGAGAGAGGGGCTGCTGTGTATCTGGGGGGAGGAGGGTTATGGCTCTCGACCAATGACGGCCAAGCGGCTTCAGCTAAAGGTCACATGGAGTGACCTCACACATTCTCACCCTCACCTAAGGCTTGAGAAGAAGTTCCCCATAACAAGAAGCATTGCTGCTCAGCTCGACTGCAAAAAAAAAAAAAAAAAAAAAACTTATGACAACTTCAAAGTGGAGTTGTGTTTTTTTTGTTTGTCTGTTTGGTTTTTTTTAGCAAGCTTATCCAAAATCAATTGTAGATTTTTGCTTTACATTCACTGCAACATCAATGCATGTTTACATATTGCAAATTGAAAAAAACACATGCATGCTGCCAAAGGCTTTATGTAACAGTGCATATATTTTATTTAAGCCAGTATTCTTAGGAGTAGGTGCACACAGAGCTGAATACTCACAGCGTAATCTGCATGTCTGTTTGGAATATATAAGCATCTTCTGTGTGAATCTACACGTATGTATACGAGTGCGTAGATAAGTTGTGCATCAGCCTCTCACGGTGGGAGCTTGGTGCAGTTTGAGGGCAGGCGGCTGGCCAGAGCGTGTGAAAGCAGATAACCAGGGCAAATTTCCTGACGCACACACTTCCTGCTCTCTGAAGTTGTGTTAAAGAAGGATGAAAACAAAACACACATCTGAGATGTTTTCTCTCCAAATCAATTTCTACACATTAAACATGCTGGAAAAAGATCAGCAGCAATGGCTCCCATAAAACTCAGAGTAGTGGAGGAAAATGTGATCCATCATCAGAGACTTGTGAATTTATCTGACAGAGTGAGTGCCCGATTTTGGTTTTAAAAAAATCTTTAAGAATGAAGACATGGGTAGTTTGTCTGCAGGTTTTATCATATGAAGAGCTGAGTTTTATGAATAACGTGAAAGTCAGAAGAGCAACTGGCAAGAGTATCTGAAACTTTTAACTTTTTATCCATTTAGTAATGTTGCTGCTGGAGTTCTGTGATGTGTTTGTGCATGTCCGCAGCAGACAAGAAGCATGCCTGCTTAAACGCTTCTGCATACAAATGTAATCGTAATAAGGTTAACTACAGATACACTGTGAAGCTGCTTGAAACAACAGCAGGGCCGTAAATACTGGGCTCATGAAATACTTCTAGAATTATATCATATTATTTGCAAAATTCTCTTTTTCAATAAAAATAATAATAGTGACAAAAGAGAAACATCTATCAGATGTGCGAGAAAAAGAGACTAATTTATAAATACACATCCTCCAGGCACACCAGCTACCTGAAGTCTTCCTCATGCCTTTTCATGTTAACCTGACAAGTCTAAAGCTGCTAACATTTTAGCCTGATCTGAAGCGTCATGTTCAGACACCTTCAGTTTACACAGTCTGCCCCAGATGGCATATCTCAGCACTGTTTTCTTTAGGCCTGTCATCTACTGTAACGTCTTAATTGACGTTTACCTCAGTTTGCTGCTGTCAGCCACCCAGAGTCTCTGTCTGAAGAGCAACCTGGCAGAACAGTTTCCCAGGCTCCAACTTCAGATAGAAAATTACACCTGAGAACATTTGTTTGTTTTAGTCTTTCTTTCATTTTGTACAGTACAATCCTCACATGCAGCGTGACTTAAGAAATAGTGTGGAAATTGTGAGGAGAGGTTTTCTACTCTTATTCTCTCTTATCCAGTACTTTGTGTTTTATGTCCCAAATCTTTATTGTATAGAAATCAAAAGACTGGTTAATAACAGTTCATTCTGGTATTCAAATGCGTCTGATGAAAACTTTTCCACAAGATATTAAATGCATGCATTAAGACTTGGGGGTGGAAAAATCCCAACCACTCCACCTGGGTAAGGTTAAATATTCCAGTTAGGACATAAAGACCAATATACAGAATTATATGGAAATTTATATGCACAACAATACAAGAGCGCTCTGGTGGAAATAAAAGCCAGAATTCCTGCAGTTTTAATGTCACACTCCACAGGCTGATTTGACTTTCCAGCTGTACAAAC